ACTCCTTGGGCATTGGACAGTGTGTGGAGTGCGATAGCGGGGTTTTGGTGCTGGATCCCACTTCTGGACCAAAATGGAGGATGGCCTGTAATAAATGCAACGTGGTGGTGCACTTCTTTGAACATGCACACAGAGTTCAGGTAAGAAAATGATCCTATGTCTTGTCTTTTGTCAAGATCATCTTATTTATATGGCCCAGTGTCTAGGTCCATCATGATAATTATGTTATTGACTTGTCATACGACATGTGGACATGACCTCGATCATTTGGTTGATCTTGATATTGGCCAGTGTGTTTACATGTGTATTTGTTTATTTAAGAATGTCACCAGGATTTTAGCTAACACAGTTCTAGAATAAACAGCACGGTTTTCCTGACCATTACAAGACTTGGGTGCTACAATTCTCGCCAACCCCTGGCAAAAGTCTGTTGTTTGTAGTTTTACCCTTTTGTTGTTCATTGTCTGAATATTCTCAAAAATTAAAAGTTTATTCTTCTTTGAAAGGGTGTATATGCATTATCATGCTGTTATATTATCAATATATTGGTGTCATAGAATGATCTAAAAACGACAATTATAATATTTATTCATAAATTATATCTGACAATATATTGTCCAACAAAAGTAGTTAGGCTTACCAACATCACATACAATGTTTGAATAAGCAAACACACAAACTGATCAAAATATCCAGACATCTGCATGCACCAAACACAAGCAGCTGATTTCCATGATCAATGCACCTTCAGCCAGAGATGATGTTGATGTTGATGATGTTGATGGGCTACAGGGGTTGAGTTTGGGGTTGATTGGTGGCAAAAGCTGCCACCAGAGGCCTGTACTAAGAAGCAGGATTTGGAGTTGGTGATGTATCTTCAGGGTGAACTCTTCAGTACTATGAAGCTGGTTCTCTTTTTACTGGGATAAATCACGGTGGTAACTTATGCTGAACAACTAACCTGCTCCGCAGCAGGTTATGTTTAGAGTATTAGATCACAACCTGTACACACCCCGACCTCTGACCAGTTAGATCACGTAAGAAAAAAAGTATCCATGGACAAAAGTCCAGAGTCTCAGGTTAAAAAAAAAAAAAAAAAAAAAAAAGAGTAGCCTATATATTGCTATAGGTCAGTAGAATTATTCCATTGTTCTCTCTCATTGTGCTCTATTTCTACTGGTTTTAATACAGAGCCTTTTTTTACTGTACATTTTACTGTCTCGCAGTCCCAGACACTTTCTGTACCATTACATCTCATAATATGAAGTAGCTGAAGTCATTCATGGGTCTGATGATGTTGCTTGTAATTAACACCCCTCGCCTCTTTCACATGAATGCACTCGTGGCTGGATAGAAAAACCCGGAGTTGACTAACTAGTTGATAACCAGCTTCGTAATAGCAGTTATTCAGACAGCCAGTGTTAGGGTTAGTCGAATCAGATGAAGAAAAGATACCCTGAGTAAGTTGAACTGGCTTCGTAGTACAGTACAGGCCTCAGATCAGCAAGTAGCAAAATTAATTGCAGTAGCAAGATTTCAACCACTAGAGGGCAGGTGCTATGCCTGTGTTTTAAACAATATATAGATATCAAATATTTTGCACTTAAAAGTCAAGATTTCTACCTGAATCCATCACCTAAATAACCATATACACTGGATTTCACCTAGAAAAAAAGTGGTTTGGGGGTTTAGTCACTCTTTAATAGATTTAGCAATGGAGCTCTATAGCACAGAGGTGGGGCTTGGCAACATATCCATACTATATAGATATCATGATCATCACTTAGTCATTATATCCACATTACCAATGATTATGTTAAAAAATCTCATTGTGTAAATATTTTGTGAAAGCACCACTAATTAACGTGCAATATTGTGGCAATATTGATATGGTGGTAACTGGTCAAATATATTGTGATATTTGATTTTCTCCACATCGGCCCTGCAGAGAGAAATAAAACTTAATTAGGCTTTGGGTACACACACAATACTTGTTAGTTGCGTTAAATCATTGTTGGTTTGACCTGATGATGGTGTGAGAGTTAAGGTTAGGTGAAATGCTTGGAACAAATTTCACGAATGTCCATCCAATAGTTGTCAGTATATTTCACTGAAAATGTGAACCTGTTGGCTGCACTGAAAGAAGCGTCAAGGGATCAACAACGCCATTATTATGCATCCCCTTGGAAATACAAACATCTGTACAAAATTTGGTGCCAATCTGTCTAGTTTTGCATCTTACTATAGGTACTGTAAATCTGTATAGATATTACAGAAATAGAATAGAAGATATATGATGTATCAAGGTCACATATTACACATTGAAAACAATTCATGTCAGTGCCTGTAGCTTAAAACTCATCAGACACTTTGTTGATTGAAGAATACTGATGGCACTAAGGATGAAGCACTTTATACCAGCTTACACACTGTAGGCTGTTAGTTGTTGACTGATTTGAACTCGGCTCATGTGTCCCTTAGCCTTGTATTTATGACGTCTTGTTTTTTCGTGAATGTTTCATTATTATAAGTCTTCCGATTTCTCTTGATCCTAAATGCTGCTTCTCTGGTCCTTCTCACTTCATGTAGGTTGCTCAGGAGAGCTGTGATGCCTGCGATGCCTCTCTGGTCGCAGTTGACTTCAACAAGACTCGCACTCCACTTCCTGCCGGCGAGACCCAACACACTGGCTGTGTTTTCTGTGATCCAGTCTTTCAGGATCTGGTGGAGCTCAAACATGCCACCATGAGACATGCCATGCATCGGGGTGGAGGTGCGAGACGGGGACGGGGACGGGGCAGGGGACGCCGTGGCAATCCTAAAAAACCTAAAGACAAAATGGCTGCCTTGGCAGCTTACTTTGTATAGTGTCTGTACGTAGTGTGTCCTGTTATTTGCTTAATACATAGCATGAAGGTGTATATGTAAGTAAATGGACTTTGGTTTTTACATGTGTACTTAATTAGACCTAAGTAAAAGATGTATTTAAAAATGTTTTGTTGTGTTTGTTCACCATCTAAAACACTATATACACTATGTATATAACACTATATAATATACTGCGTATATTGTCAACTGTAATGTACTGTTTTCAGGGAAACAGTAGAAAACTATGACTGAATAGTTTTTGTAATTCCACACTTTAGAAATGTCGACAGTTTAAGTTTAAATTCAGACAGGCATGCTGACATATCAATACACATGTGAGTGAGTATGGTAACATTAACTTGTATCATGCTATGGCATGACACAGTTGTTTCATTTGTATGAAGATACATGAACGATTGATCAGGCAAAAATTTAGGAAATTGGCATGTTAGACTTTTAACATGTCAGCTCTAAGTTTTATTTTCCACTTCCAGGACAATTTTTAGTTTACGCTTTCCTATTTAAACTTTTAATTTAATTATAATAATAATGACTTTATTAAGGACACAGAGAGAGGTCCATAGCATACCACATAAAAAAAATCATCTCTGTACAAAAATACAATATAATAAATACAATATATAAAATATCTCTAAAAAAAAGAAATATCCTACACGTCATTATACAAATTCATAAAAAATGGACAGAATTCAATAAACTGCACCCACAAACAAGCTGGAAAGCCAGTGGCTTTGATTGTTTTCACTCATGCTCCTTCATATCAGGTTTTCCATTTTTACTTTACCTTACTCATTTTCAAATTTTGATTTTTCTATATAATTTGTCATTTGTTGTCAACAGTAGAGTTTTAGCAATACGTCACTTACTGGACCAGTGGATCGACCAAAAAAACCGACAACATTTTAAACACTAATTAATCCTTTCAGTTATTGTTCATGCAGAAATGGCAAACTTTAATTGATTCCAGGTTCTAGGACACGAAGATTTGACGCTTTTCTCTGAACTGAGTATTTTGGGGTTTTGGACTGATGGCCTAATAAAATAAGCAATTTGAATATACATAACATATATACATATATATAACCTTGATTATATTTAGTTTCACAAAATGTTCTAATATTTCACAGAGAAATCAAGAAAAGGATCTGCAGATTACAGTTGGTAATCAGTTATGAAAATAACTCATCTTTGCTGAAATGTTGACTATATCCACACAGTAGTACATGTGACAGATAGTGAGAAAAAAAAATCCTCCTCATAGTGCTTCTAATGCCAGTTGCTAGAATCCACGGTGGCTGAAGGTAGACAGCCAGTCATTGCTGAGGAGTCTCTAATGCAGCTGTCAATCAATGCTCCTGAACTGCAGTCAAACTGATAAATTAGGCAGAGCTGATGATATGAATGAAAAATCTGTGACTGAATCGCCCATTTCTTGCCTCAGCTGTTTTTAATGTACTGTTTAGCTGTAAAATGAGAAAGGTGGTCTGGACAGTGGGCGGTGTTTGGTTTTCGCTCAACTATTTTTAACATGGCGTCCTGGTCACAAACTTCTCCTTATACAGCTAAACAGTACACTAAAATATGATTCTGAAAATATTTGAGGAGAGAAATAGGCAATGCAGTAACATAATCTTAATTAATATGTGTTGAGTGCTGTGAGTTTGACAGTTTGACTAGTTAAGGAGCAGTGATTAACGAAATTGACAGCTGCATCAAAGACTCCTTGGCTCTGATTGGTTTTCAGTCAGTGCAGTGGATTTTAGAAAATGCCATTAAAGGCACCACAAGGAGCAGAGGCACATGGTGTTTTTTCACAGATAATCTGTCTCAGGTACTACTGTGTGGATATAGTGACAATTTCAGTAAATATAACAAATACCCCAGGTTTGGGCCAGCAGCCTTGCACAGCAGGGATTTGCATTTCCACTACAAGAGGGCTACCCGTTTTAGATTTTTTTTTTTTTTTATTGAAGTAACCAGCTCCTGCTTTGATCAACAATTATAATAAGTTATAGTGTGTATAGTAGTGTGTTTTCACTTTTGTTGTCTAGTGTCGTATTTCCACTTGGTATGTCCCTTTAAATCTACAGTGGAAGGAGGGACATGTGATAGCGTACAGGACAGTGATGTCCAATGGCGTGTTGAGCATACTGCAGATCTCTTAACATTATTGATAGTGTTCACTGTGCCTGTCTTCCGACCAGCAGTCTTTTAACCATCAGGGCTACCAGCGCAGGTTCATGTGTGTGTGTGCTTTGTCAATGAATCTCGACTCTTTGTCTCGTCAAAGGGCGTGTTTCCCTCGGCTGTCGGTCTGTTTGTAGGCCTACTATACCACAGGATTGCTCCAGTTGAGCTAGCTCCAGGTAAGACGAAGAAGCTGCACTCTGCTCGTCGGGAACATTGTAATTTGTGCACTAATTCTACGCAATTGTATGTTGCTGACTGCATGCATATCAGTGAACATTAATGGTACAACCATGAGAACGCCGTTGCCAACACTGAAAAAAGTAACTTAACTTTCAACGCGCAATTTAACGCGATTTCTACGCTTTTGGGAAAATAAAAAATATCGCAAAACTAAGTTGACTAAGTTACGTTGCTAGCTATTAGTATTTGGTAGCTAGTTGTAACGTTATGTCTACAGTCTCGACAGCCTTGTAACATGCCTCTCCCTCTGCTGTGGAAATAATGTGGCACCATAGTTTGCAGGAGCCTTCATACGTTCTCCTGTTCTTTCTTTCTTTTCTTTTTTTTTCTCTTAAAGAAATGTCATTTCCGCAGTATTAACTCTTTACACATGGACTAGCCGGCCAACCTGACATAGTGCTATCCTTAAGATACCCTAACCGCCTCTTGTTTAAAAGATGATGGCTGCCCACCGGCTAGTGTTATTTAAAGGTATGGAAGCCCATTTCCGCCGAGAAAAGAAAAAGAGAACATGGGCATAATGGAAAAAATTAAATGCTAATTGGTCAAAATTGTAAAAAAATTTTTTTAAAAAGTACTAATAATAAATTTACCATCATAAATATAGACCTAAACCCACAAGTTTAACCTAATATATCAAACATTTTACATAAGTCAAAAATGTAAGATAGTCAGAAACTTCAAGTTATTTATAAGGGAGAGAAAGGGTTGGTGCAAAATGGAGGAGCTATGTCAAATTTTAAGCACTTTTTATTTTGGCTTAAAGCAGTGGTTCACAACCTTTTCCTTGAAGGACCCCTTTTATTTATTTTTTATTTATTTTTATTTGTGTGTATTTTTTTCCAGTTGGGAACCATTGGCTCAGAGGGGGGACAAACAACTTTAATTGGTTGTATTTTCTAGGGCTGCCCCCGACTAAGGGCCCGTCCCAATACCATCCCTTGGCCCTACCCCTAGAGTTGCTCATTCTCACGAGGGGTAGTGGTGTCCCAATTCCTTTTTGCGTGTAGGGGTAGGGGGCATAATGAGGGGTAGTGTGTATGAAACTAGCCCTTTGGAGTGAGGGATTTCAGATGCTGACTTGCCAGCGAGGAGTAGATGTCACCATGGCTACCACCGAGCAAGAGACGGGGAAAAAGTTTTTATTGCTATTCACGATGCCTAGATTGGAGTTGACAGAAAGCTAGCCAGCTAGGTAACGTTACCGTCGTCAGGTTGCTTGTTAGCTCGCACTATCTGGCGTCTGTCATCTGTCCTGTTCTGCAAAATTGTTGTATTTTTCACATTACGATAACACGCCAGTTAGTATAACAATGCTGCCTCGTAATGTTAGCTGGTTAGCTAGCTAGCTAGCAGAAGTCCCCTGTCGTACATATCTTATTACTCTAATGGTACGTTAGTAGCAAGCATAATAGTAGCAAACGTTACCGTTACATTGTAGATGCCCATTTGGAAATGTAGATGGCTCATGGCTTCCTGTTTAAAATAGTTACATATGCGTGAACGTAACCGACCCAATTCCTAGGGAAAGATTTCAACCCCTACCCCTCGTTGCTTCATTTCGAGGGCCAAGGGGTAGTGGGCAAGGGCCAAGGGCTAAGGGGTGGTGGACAAGGGGGGGGGTATTGGGATTGGGCCAAAGAATTTTCCTATTTGAGCAATAGTCGTCATTTAGGGCCATTAGTCGACTAGTCACTCGCATGTTTACAATATTTATTTTATATATTTTGGGCGGGGCAACATAATGGTTTGAGTTCAAGGCCTGAGGAAGAATAGTATCAGTAACATTGTCAACACTGTGCTACATTACAGAGAAATACAAAACCATACTAATGAACCATCATTAATATAGGGCTATATTTTATCTTGAAGTGCACATCATACACTGAATGAGCCACCCGTTAATTACCCTGTCAGCAAAGCAGTAATGATTGTGCTAAGTGGCTAATGGGCATGCAGCTACTTACATGTTTCAGATGATACGTCATGTTTGTAGTAATGTTTGTGTGTAGAGTTTACATATCACCTGGGGTTCGTCCTTCACCTTCTCAAAATAATCTCACACTTTGGATTTCCTGCCCGACATGTTATTAACTAGCCTGTATGATAACCGCAGGTACCAGAAGTGTAAATAAACGTGACTCCTGTCTGACTGCTGAGTGTGGCCACTTCTTGTGTCTGTCCTATCAAATTAAATTCCCACATGGTTTCATGTTTTGTTTTGTTTTGTTTTGTTTTGTTTTTTTGTTTTTTTTCTGCTAAGTGACCAATAAAATCATGACAATCAATTACCTTTCTGGTCGATTAATGTTTGGTCAACTATTAGGGGGCAGCATTAGTATTTTCTGTTTATTTTGAATACCCTCTTACCCCAAATCCTGCTGGCGAGTGTGAAAGGCATGTTTGCTTTAAAATTTGCCAAAATTACACCATTTTATCACAGCCAGAAAATAAAAACAGAAATTACCAGCAAATTTTAAATTTTTTGACTGTCATTCAAAACGTACTTCTAAGGAGGAGTAGCATTTTTCTCAAGAAATGTTTTTTTGGGTTGTTGTTTTTTTTTGTTTGTTTCCATGTTAACTCTCTACTGTTTGCTTATTGCACTGGCTACAATAGTACCTACATTTGGCATGATTATTCAAAATAATACTAATTATTAGTATTATTATTGTTATCATCATTGTTATTATTATTATTATTATTATTATTATCATGAATTATTATCAAGATTATCAAGATAAAAATAAAATTAAAGAAAACACAAACAAACTTACACACAGTCACTCCCATCCTCTGATAAATAAAGTACTGTCCCTAAGTCAAAGTAGTTACATCAGTAGGTGTAGACTTAAGTTAAATTTCCTAGTGTGCTTCTATGACAGGTTAAAACGATATAATGATTATAACTTATAATAAGGATAGTGCTAACAATAATAATAATAATGATGTAATAGTATTGATTGAGTTGTGGGTGTATCTCACAAAGGTGATACCAGCTGGGAATTAAAAGTTTCATCTGTGACGTTTATACCACAAAGTTAGAGTTAGAGTTAAATTTGAAGCCTGCTTTCTCTGCCCTTTAAGTGTATCCTCCTGACCTGTGAGTGCTGACCCCCCTGTTCACCGGAGTGCTTACTGCAGCCAGAGCCAGCGGGATGGAGGAGGAGGCCAGGTGCTTCCTGGGGAGGTTTGTGGAGGAGTTCCCTGCTGCTCTGGAGGAAGGCAGTCCACTGCCTGTCAGCCCTCTGAGTCGAAAAGTGTCTCTGGACGAGCTGCATGGAGAGAGCCTGGAGCTCGGCCTGAAGCTACTGGCTGCCAGGTATGACTGACTGGGAGGGAGCAGTTCACAGAATGCTTTTTATGTGGTTGGTAGGCCTGAAGGATACACAAAAGCCACAGAACCCACATGCTATAAATGTATTTATCTGTCTATGGACCAAATAACAGTATTATGTGAATAAATGGAATTACTGTGAAATTGCCTATAACTTTCACCAGAAGGTCACTTTTATGTTTAAATCTTCTGACATGCTCTGACTGTAATGCCCAGTATATACACATACTGCAAAGTAATGTGGGGGCTAGTTTGACAGTCTTGATGGAAATGGAGGCTGCAGCTTGACTACGATCGATCAATCAATCAATCAATCAATCAATTTTATTTGTAAGCCTAATATCGCAAATCACAATTTGCCTCAGAGGGCTTTACAGCATACGACGTCCCTCCGTCCTTTGGACCCTCACAGCGGAAAACCCATTAATGGGGAAAAAACTGTAGAAATCTCAGGAAGAGCAACTGAGGAGGGATCCCTCTTCCAGGACCGACAGACATGCAAAAGATGTCATACAGAACAGATCAACATAATAAATTTACAAAGTTCCATATGACAAAATGAGACATTCACCACCAAAATTTTAACATCTGTTCCTTGTCCCATTATCAACCTTTTCTGAAAATTTCATCAAAATCCATTCAGAACTTTTCGAGTAATTTTGCAGACAAACAGACCAACGTGAGCAAAAACATAACCTCCTTGGCGAGGTAATGACAGTATCTTACAACAACATTAATGTAATTAATAATACTATAATAATAATTACGGCTATTGTGGTACAATATGTTGTAAGTATATATTAATATAAGATAGTATATGTATGTGACAATAATCATATGTGTATAATAACAGTAGAAGTATGACTAATGATAACAGCAGTAGTAGGCGGTGTTGGGGTCAACACATAAGGCTTCACACGGAGGCACCAAAATGTTGGGAACATAAATTTGGGCTTCACATGGCGGCACCAAATATGTTGGGATTTAATTGGCTATTAAATAGCCAATTAAATCAATTAATAATTATGTTAAATAATGTGACTTAATTAACATTAAATCACCTCGTGGAGCACCATTCCCGAAAAGGGAAAAATGACAGCCAGTTAAAGATATCAGTCTCATAAAATAGGCTAAACTATTAATTTGGAGTTTTGATAAATAATTAAATTAATGACAACAACCAAAATTAACAGTAACGCCTGAAGGATTTCGGAGTTCTTGACGCAGCAGAGGTTGACTATTCATTCACTCTTGTGCAACATTAAACAGACAGCAGGTATGATTCCAAAGAATTATATTTATTCACAAACTAGCAAAACAAACCAAAACACACAAATTCTAACTAACTATATACAAGCTTAGTGTGTATATGTGTGTGTGTGTGAGAGAGAGAGAAAGAAGAGAAAGGCAAAGGCAGGTGTGGCCACGTTTAGCCAACAAAACAAAATGGCTGACAACAGAGAACTACCAAAATGGCTGAATCAAGGCTAGCTTCGGGTCCGGGGGAGGTGTTTGTCTGACCGTGTGGTCAGGACAAAGACAAAGGAAAAGAAGCGGGAACTTTGAGATGCCTGTTTGGGTGTAGCTCTGTTGAAAGCGTTTTTGTTAATGAGTCTATGTGAATGTGATTTGTGTTGCAAACGGTCTGGATTAGTGCAGAGATTGTTTAGCTGTGTGCAAGAATCTGTTTGTGAACAGTATTAGCAAACTAGACACTTAGCTTTGGCGAAGCCAACTAATCAATGACCTCAGTGCAAACTATCACAACAATAACTCAATGACAGCATTAAATCACATACAATAAGTTAAACAGTCTTGCTTAGCCTGTAAAGCTGCGATAAGCTATGCCCAGTTGTTACATTACTGATCCTTGAGTGGATGGGAGAAAGAGTCACTTGGTGGTGTACTGCTTTGTTAGCCGGCAGAAGAAGGCTGAGAAGGTGCAGTCTTTGTTGGGTCCTTTGTTCCAAAGGTGAAACTCAGAGGAAGCTGCTCGCTCAGGGTTTAGAAGAGTTAGAGGCTGTGTACTAACTCACTTAGTTCCTTGTTGCTGGAAAGCTAGTTGCAAACCTTGTGTTTGCAAGAGAGTCTGTGATCAATTGCCCTCCCTTTAGTGGTTGGGGCAAGGAGCAAGGGTCTGGGCCTCTGCTGTTCCAGGCCCAGCCGGAGAGGGGTGTGAGCTGTTGAAGCTCCAGAGCAAGAAAAAAAAAATCTGAAGGGAGCAGACCTTGTACAGATGCCTGTGACATCACAGAGTCACATGTCACTGTAAAAGTACTGTCCAATCAAGTTGTGAGACTTGTGTCTCACTGAGGCGTGAGGTGAGACCTCCTGTTGAGATGGGTGTCACCTAGCTGTCTTTGTTTGAAGACAAAGAGCATGCAGAGGAAAAAGCCTTTAAATCAATGATGATTTTACCAAATGATAAATCATCTGTGGTCCTGTGAATCCCAACAGTGTCATCAGGCAGGACCACGGCAGCAGCGCAACCACGTCACACGATCCAGGCATAGCTGTGATATGAGTTAACCTGCCAGGCAGCGGAGCACAAAGGCTCCGGAGAAGAAGCCGAGTTAGTGACATGCAGTAACAGGACATGAATGTTAGCAAAGGAGAGAGAGAGAAGGAGAGAAGGTGCCCGGTGTATTATAGGGGGTCCTCCGGCAGACTAGGCCTAAGTCAGCCTAACTAGGGGCTGGTACAGGGCAAGCCTGAGCCAGCCCTAACTATAAGCTTTATCAAAAAGGAAGGTCTTAAGTCTAGTCTTAAATGTGGAGGTGGTGTCTGCCTCCCGGACCCAAACAGGAAGATGATTCCACAGGAGAGGAGCCTGATAGCTGAAGGCTCTGGCTCCTGATCTACTTTTGGAGACTTTAGGAACCACGAGTAACCCTGCATTCTCAGAGCGCAGTGTTGTGGTGGGATAAAATGGCACTATGAGCTCTCTAAGATATGACGGAGCCTGACTATTTACAGCTTTGTAATGTAGGAGACAGATTTTAAATTCAATTCTGGATTTTACAGGGAGCCAGTGCAGAGAAGCTAAAACAGGAGAAATGTGATCTTGTTTCTTAGTTCCTGTCAGCACACGTGCGGCTGCATTCTAGATTAGCTGGAGAGTTTTCAAAGATGATTAGAGCTGCCTGATAATAGAGAGTTACAGTTATCCAGCCTAGAGGTAACAAAAGCGTGGACCAATTTTTCTGCATCTTTTCGGGTCAGGATAGGCCAAATTTTTTGCAATGTTACGCAGATGAAAAAATGCAGTCCGTGAGGTTTGTTTTAAATGAGAATTAAAAGACAAATCTTGATCAAATATTACTCCGAGGTTTCTTATGGTAGTGCTAGAGGCCAGAGCAATGCCATCCAGAGAAACTATATCATCAGATAAAGAGTTTCTGAGTTGTTTGGTGCTCGAGAACAATAACTTCATTTTCGCTGAATTTAACATCAGGAAATTGGAGCTCATCCAGTATTTTATGTCTTTAAGGCATTTTTGAAGTTTAGTTAATTGATCCATTTCTTCAGTCTGCACTGGGTTATGTTTTAAGTGATGGAACGAATCTGTGGTACCGCTTCCTTTTGTAGCAATTGTCTTGTGGCATATTTTGCAAATGATAGTAGTCTGTTTCACATCTGCCCTCCTGACACCAAACGACCTCCAAATGGTAGATCTGCTTCATGATCTTTCTCTATTTTGAACTGATGAGATGGCAGGACAATGAGTGATAAACCGGTGAGCGTGGTTGATCAACTTAGGATGTCTGCACAAGAGGGAGTGAAAACAAGTCCCTGCACATAAACATGGCCTGCTTTTAATGCATAAATAAATTACTAAAATGCACAAGGAAAATCTCAATATGTCAATATGGTCATCTGCTTTGTCACATATAAAATATTAGAATATATCGTATATATTCGGTACGTGGGCCACCCCTGCTTGGTACTGTTTGCAGTGTCCGCCCATGTTGTGCATATGTGGCTACATTCCTCAGATTCCTGACAGCTCTGCTCTTGCCCTGCTCATTCAGTATGCATGGTTGGCTTTGCTGTTTGACTTCAGACTGCAGGGGTAGACTGAATAATAGTTGCTGACACGCTGTAAAAAAGTAAAACCAGAAAATTCCAAACGAGCTGTGGAGGACATAACAACAGAACTCTTCGCTCATTATCCTCCTCCACTGTTATAACTAATCTTTGATAATCATTTACAGTATTTGAAAGGTACAAAAATATTCTTAACGACTTCATTCAGATGGGATAGGACTGTCTCAATTATTGCTGTTTGCTCACACACTCTATGTGAGGTGTTGCACATCATTCCTGCGGTTTACAGAAATGAAACTTGAAAACATAGGGAGGGAGTGCCCAGTTGATTGTTATTGTCATACAAGAGTTATTTTTCCCTTCTCTTTGTAAGTGAGCAATGATTTAATCACTTTGATGAACTTGCAGGACAATTAACGTAATCTGACAGCATTAAATACAGACAATGCCATGTTGAAAGTGTTACAGAAATGTTGCTATTGTAATTTTTACATTAAAGTTACTTAGGAGCTCATTTTCTCTGCCGGGCATAAACCTGGAGATCATGTGTTTGGTCGTGTGTGTGCTTGCGTGCGAGTGTGTGTATCTGTTTGTTCGCAGTAGATCCCACAAACTACTAGACCCATCAGCCTCATATTTTGTGTGCACACAAGGACATCTCAGGGTTGCAGTGATTCACAATTGTTGAAAAACCTGTTTTATTGGCTGTTTTATAGTCGTCATCGTCATTGACTGCTGACTCCTTTTTACCAGCTACCAGTAGGGGTGGGAAGTTTTCCAAAAATCTGCTCTACTAAAAACAAGCCTTACCTATTCTGTTGCAGGAGCAGGACGCAGTTTGGTCTTTGTCGTGGTTAAAAAACTGACACCCATAGAAAAGTTTGGTCTCATTTTGAACCTTGTTTTAGTCATCTCCATTGCCATCATGAATGGTAGGGAGCCAGGAGGTACATTTACATCAGGTGCAGCTGCGTTTTGTTCCTTCTGCTGCATTCTAGAACATTATAGCACACCGAGGGCGTTCCAGAAGTTTTGCCTGCCTGATTTTGTAGCCTTGCCTATTTCTGTTGGTTTGTTCATTATACCTGGTGGAGATCTGCACTCCTCTGAGTGCACCTTCCTAGTCCAGATATGTGGCATGTATAGTTGCAGTCAGATTTTTGTAACAAGGTGCATGTTTGAAAGAGGCTCACCCCAAATGCAGTGGAAACCATTTAAAAACAGTAAAGATGGATATGTTTTAGTCATGTAGTTTGGTAAGACATACATGCTGGAAAGACATGAAAAGATGTCTCATCCTCTTGGCTCTTATGGACTGCACTGTGCAAATTGTCTGAAGTCTCCTCCCTTCTTAGTCATATCCCTTTAAAATGAGCATTAGAACAGCTATGAGCAACCCTCCAGCTCAGCCAAACTTAGTAGAGGAAAAGTCTAATTTAAAAAATGTGTGAGGTCTTGGTCTCTGAATCATCGCCTTGTGTGTGCTGTGCTCTCTTTTGGGCTCACATTTTACTTCAGAAGTACGCCCTGTCAGGAAGACTTCATATCCTGTCTGTACAAACACATTGTTCTGCCCACTTCCTGTTTCCTTAGTTCAGTCTGTTTCTACAACAGAAATGTAATTCTGTAAAGCAGAAGGACTGACAGATGACAGAGTTTATCTCACAGTTAGTTGTGTATTTAGCAGCTGTTACTCATTTAAATAAGCACATGTTGTGCTCCAGTTATATTTTACTCATTTGTGTTTGCTAGCATTTGCTTGTTTATTTCTGTACTGAGGTGATTCACTCACATCTGGCTGTACAATTGAGTACAGTGTTACTTTGCTGCAAAGTCTGGTGAGAGACATTAATCATGTTCATGTATTTCTGCTTGTTTTTGTTGGTTCAGGGGTGCTCCTGCAGGCCTCAGTGCCCTGCTGTGCCAGGCAGCGCTGTCCCAACTGCTGCAGAACGACCTCTCACCTTTTCACTGCTCCCAGGAAGCTGACAGCCAGGAAGAAGAACAGCAAGTAGTCTGTAAGAGTTTTACTGTAGGCTCAGTTTGGAGGCTGTAGTTTGTGGTGCTGTTAAATTAGATTTTGTTTCACTGAGTGGTGTCTCAAATCTTAAGTCAACTCTTAATGATAAAAATGGGAGCTTTGTTGCTGGACGTAAGCAGTAAATTTCCACAACTACTTGGAGGCAGTGCAACAAGTTGTGAACACAATGCTGAAATATTATCACCTTAAAAAGTTAATCACAAACCTGTAAGAGATTATTTGACACAGAGTGGCATTATTATTTTTTTGGATGCCTGTTTAGGTCCACCTGATGAATCTAAGTCCAGTCATCACCGTCCTTTAGCTCGGTTTTTGGTTTCCACCAGCTCCCACAAGCATAGACCTGGCTCATTAGCTACTAAATGCTTAACTATGTGCACAAGCTAGTTTGTAACTGTGTCTGTCTGCTGCTTGCTGCTTAACAGTTGAGTATAGTGAGGGTGAACGAAAACAATAACTGTGACATAAAACCAAAGTACTGAGCTAGAAGAGGCTAAAAAGTGCTGTAGAGCTGAGAGGAGCTGCAGAGTTGTTCATGTTTCTCTGTGGGTTAAACACTACAAGGGACTTTACAGTGACGTGCATAAGTTTGGGCACCCCTGGTCAAAATGCCATTACTGCGACTAGCTAAGCAAGTAAAAGATGATCTGATTCCCAAAAACCAAAAAGTTAAAGATGAGACATTTCTTCAATATTTTAAGCACTTACTTTTTAATTTCAATCTTTAAAAAAAAAGAAGATAAAGGGTCTGAAGCAAAAGTTTGGGCACCCTGCATGGACACTACTAGGATCTTTGTCCTGTTGTAGAAGCCATCCTCTCTTCATCTCTTTTTACAGATGGTGTGATGTTTACTTCCAGATTTTGCCTGAATTTAACTGAATCCATTCTTCCCTCTATGTGTGAAATGTTCCCTGTGTCACTGGCTGCAACACAAGCCCAAAGCATGATCGATCCACCTCCATGTTTAACAGTTGGTCAGGTGTTCTTTTCATGAAATTCTGCACTAGGGGTGTGCCATATCATCTTGTTCGTGATAATCCCAATAAAATTTTTAATATCATGTGAAAAAATTCATATTGTGATACTTGCGATATTTCAGCTTCTTGACATATTGATGTCATACTCATACCCAAGCCAACAACAAGCATGGCCGACTCCCTGGTAGTTCCAGAAAGAGGAGAAGCTTCAGTAGTGTGAAATAAACTGTGGCGTCGTTAGGCCTAGGCGTCCTGAATGTTTCATGAAGTGCCCCGGACATCTCAGACTCTTTTAGCAAGTTACCATGAGTTACCATCTCTGCAGAGGGAACTTATTCAGCGACTCCGCCGGCAACAGCAGAGTGTCTCTTCCTCTCCTCTTTGCTGTGTGCACACAGGAGTTGGTGTTCTTTTGTCATAAACCTTTGGTAATGTAAACCTATGCGAGAAAAAAAACTACATATATGTGAATGCGCAATAGTTATTGTAGCATAACAGCCTGTCACTGGTTACAGCGTGATGATGAGAGGAGAACTGGGAGAGCATAAAGGTCCAGGTGGGAAAAAAAACAACTCAATCATTTAGGATTTTGCTAAAAGAGAAGGAAATCACCTGTTGATTTATATATATAGATCCCAGGGTACATTTTTTTGTATTTGGGAGCTATTTAAATGTTTATGTTGTGGGAAAATTTTTTTGTTGAACTATTAATATTGTATACAGAATCAGAATCATTTAGTTTAGGTTTTTCTGAATATCTGAAGGCAAACTGTTAGATTGACATGTAAAACTATATCACACTTTTTTCTCAAATTGATAATATATATATATTTTTTTCTAATTTGTCATATTATTAAGAATAACGTTATCGCAAAAATAGCCTGAAATATCGTGATATTATTTTAGGGACATTTTGCCCACCCCTATTCTGCATCCTTTTTTCTCCAAACACACCATTGCTCTTTGAATCGAAACAGTTCTATTTTAACTTCATCAGTCCACAGGACTTGTTTCCAAAAAGTATCAGGCTTGTTCAGATGTTCCTTTGCAAACTTCTGATGCTGAATTTTGTGGTCAGGACACAGGAAAGGTTTTCTTCTGATGACTCTTCCATGAAGGTCATATTTGTACAGGTGTCACTGCAGAGACCACCACCAGAGTCTGATAAATCTTCCTGCCGTTGTTTTGCAGTCAGATGGGGGTTTTGATTTGCCTTTCTATCAATCCTACGAGTAGCTCTCTCAGAAAGTTTTCTTGGTCTTCCAGACCTCAACTTGACCTCCACAGTTCCTGATAACTGCCATTTCTTACACATCTTGGCATCTCGGCATCATCATTGGGGAATGATTTTAACAGAGAATAGTAGGATTTTCTAACGTGAAAAATAACCAATAACCTAAACACAACCGGGCATGTTCCAGTAGGAAAATGATCCAAAACTGAGAAGAAATTTACAACATCAGCAACTAAGAGTACAAGTCTCCCTGACTTTAGCATGTAGCTGCATATAGCAGTGAAGGCTACGTAATGTAAACACTTGCAGTAGTGTGCCTGGAGCAGATGACCATATAAAGAAATCTATCATGAGCTGATGTCGCAAAAGCAGAAGAAAACGCTGTAAACAGAGTATTTAGATCAGTGTGAAATCTGAGGTTTTTGCTCACAGAGATTACTTTTACATACATTTACCTTACTATTTGAAACTTAATGTTCAATATTAACATCTATCAATGTTTTGTATGCATGTATTGTATGTATAACAGAAAATAAGTGGAAGAATAATAGGTCTCCTTTAATATTGCACTGTATATACTAGTAGCAAAAAGTATTAAGATCCAAAAGGTTGTCACTGATTTCTTGATGATTTTATCTTTCTGTTAGTGCTTCAGTCAGAGGCAGTCCAACGTCTCTTCATCAACAAGCTGATAGATGTGGCGCTGACATGGCATCAGAACTTCCCTAAGCCCCCTCCTTCTCCCTCCCAGTTCCTCCGCTGCTCCGTCCATGCCATCAAGAACACCAGGAGAAAGATGGAGGACAAACATGTCACCCTGGCTGAGTTCAACCAGCTCTTTGGAATCCAGGTGAAGACTTTCACAGTAACAATGCTGCTTCACACTGGTTTTCTTGTAACACCATCAGATTATTAAGATGAAACACCTATTTGATGTCTTTCTCTCTGTCTGTACCATGGTCCAGGACGGAGTGGAGCGTGCCTACTACGCTGTGTTTGACGGTCATGGAGGGGTGGATGCTGCCATCTACGCTGCCACTCACCTCCATGTTGCTCTGAGTAAACAGGAGACACTGCAGAGAGACGCAGCCACAGCCCTTAAAAGTGCCTTCAAATACACTGATGACATTTTCAGAGGCAAAGCCAAGAGAGAGGTACTGAAGCAGCACCACTACCACATCCTGAACAGGTTCTAGCCAAGTACCCCTCACTGCAATGTGCAGTTCAGGGTGGCGCTCAATGTGGGCAGAGTCAAACCTTTAAACTCACATTGAGCACGTTTGACTCACTCAGCGGCACCACCTAAAAAGAGGACATCAGTACTGCATGAAGTACTTAATTATAAACACAGCAACCTTGAAAACATATTACACCAGTATACTTGTAATTTTATCATGATCTGTAATAAACATTGCCTAGTTTAAAATAAATTACAATGCAATTGCAAATTGACCTCTTGGTCCTCTGATGGAAGAGTGGAGCACAGCATGGGTCACTTGGAGGCTGCTTGTAGGCTGTGAGATAGAGCCAAGCAGCTCAAACCAGGGCCCGTGAAGCATGCTGGAGGTTTTACCGGGGCTGGAGGGGCGGTCATAGTGGGTGAGAGGAGACCAAACGCCTGTAGAGCATGTTGGAGGCTTCACATCCAAGGATGTGAGGACTCCTGCACTCCTTCTGTTTCTCCAACATGCTCTGTTGGCCCTGGCTGTCCTCTCATCTTAAAAAGCCCCTTTGACTGACTGCTGTGCCTTGCTCCTCTACCAGAGAACCAGGGAGAAGACTGGAGGGCGGTGGGTCTCTGTTTGCTTTCCTCCAGTGTCCACACACTCCTGGATGTAGAGCTGTGGACTTTTGTCAGGTTTTTTTTTTTTTTTTTTTTTTTTGAGATATCATAGGGTGGGACTTGGCGAGAAATGTAGTGGGATCCATAATAATGCGTACATTCATCAAATTCAGTGCTCTATATTGCTATTTTCCAAGCCACTGTAATCATATTCCTCGGAGAAGGACTGCACTGCACCCTGTGGTCCCTCAGCCTCACTCCCGTATATGAGACTTCTTAGCTGGGAGGAGAGCAGACAGCAGCTTGGGAGACGGACCTTCAATCGCGGCTGTAGCAGCTAGCATTCAACCAAGCAAACCCCAAGTCCCCACCAGGTCAGCAAGCTTCTGTTGCTGTCATTACACAGATTATAACCAGCACTGCCACTGGTGACCAGCCCGCTGTGACCCCCATTGCTGGGTTAGCAGGTTAGCTTTGGCTAAACTTGAGTTGCCGCAGCAAGTCTGTCTCTGCCTCTTTAGAGGTGCTGGCTGCTCTCCTCACAGCAAAAGTAGTCTCATAGCCTGGGAGAGAGGCATAGAGGAACTGCGGGGTAGCAGTTAACTAACTAGCAGTAAACGCACACAAAATTGCTAACACAGGGTGGCACTCAGCGTTTGATTCCGCCCATGTTGACCGCGGCCCCAAATTGCACACTGCAGTGAGGAGCTTCTCATTTCAGCTGACAAACATGCACTGTTATTATAATATCAACAACAATATAGTATTTGAAAGATCTTTTTTTTTTACTTTACTAGATAATAATTCTATTCCCTTTTTGTCTTTTAATCATGAATTATTAATAGAATTTTAAAATCAAATCACAAGATTAATTTTGCAAAGGCTTTTAGATTTAACTTTTTCGGCATTTGCAGTTTTCATTTGGAGTTTGGGTTTGTTTAAACACAGCTCCCTTAAATTTAAGCAGTGGGCATCTCAAAATTGAATCAAATCCAACCCACAGATTTGTAGCAGGAGCTCCAATTGGCTAGATGCTGCTATGTGTTGCATTCAGAGCTCTGACCACTAGATTGTAATTATGGGTTCTGGGATCTGAGTGTTTTCTGTGTGTGTGTGTGTGTGTGTGTGTGTGTGTGTGTGTGTGCTGTCGTCAGCGTCTGCGGAGTGGCACTACAGGCGTGGCAGTGCTAATCCAGGGACAGGAGCTGACTGTGGCCTGGCTGGGAGACTCTCAAGCAGTACTGGTCAGAAAGGGACAGGCTGTTACACTCATGGACCCCCATAAACCAGACAGAGAGGTAAATATACACACTGTCAATACACAGGAATATAGAATTAGTTGACACAGTTATTCTATCAGGTGGATTCAGCACAATAGCAGCCAAAGATGAAGGTAAAATAAACATTTTTCCTCCCAGGCTGCACTTTTAAAGACGGTGAAATGCAGCTCCTGCCATGGTTCTGTAAACATTTTGCTGCATTAGATGAATTGAGAAAAAAAAGTAAAAATTACCGTACCTCCAAACATTTGTCTGTTTGCAAGTAATAATGTCATTTGCTAGGGAAAAATGATTTTTCAGCCCATGCAAAAGACTGTGTAAAAGGTCATCAAAATCTTGCTCCTATAGATTTTACTTTTGTCCAGTCTAGTTGTTACTGACTGAACGCCTTTACTGCTGCTTCTTCACCAAAACACTAGATGTGGCTGTGCTGACTTGACTGATGACAGTCACGTGACACATGTGGAGTTTAGATTCACCTAACAGTGAAAATAGTTACAACAAATTACTGCACATCTGTAGATAAACTAAACTGTGGGAAGGTGGTTGGATGGTAAAGTTGGTGTCTTTTGTCCTCTGCCATCCAGGATGAGAAACAGAGAATTGAGGATCTTGGTGGCTGTATCACTTTCATGGGTTGCTGGCGTGTTAATGGCACATACGCTGTATCCAGAGCTATAGGTAAGTCAATCGCAACCAGCAGGAGCAGAGAAAAAAGGATTTGTGTGGAATCCCCCCTATCTAGGTTCTATAAGGAGGGTCATAAGTAAAAAGACCAGCTATGTATGTGTATTTTTAAGGAATATACCTAAAACCCCCCACACAGTTTCATTTAGGGGCTGTACACATATTGTTGTTTTTTTGCACCCTCAAATGAATTATTTTCAATGTAGACGTGTGGCAGGTACACTCAAACGCCAAAGTGACGCTGTCAGGGGGGGTACGCATCCCGAGCACCTATTTTGCAGGGCGCGGCGGCTTTGCTCTGAGATAAACAGAGTTCAACTTTTGGAATACAGCAGCGCGCACTGCATGTCATGTGTCGAGGACCAACAAATTAGAGCTGGCAGATACCTTTCCCTTCTTCTGTGAATATCAGTTGCTGTTAAATGGAGGAGAAGTTAAAGCTGGCACAGAGTAGTGCCCACCATCTCACCTCACGTTTTCCAGGCGGTTAAAGACGTGGCATTGTACGGTCCCTCACATTTGCTTTGACATAAAAAAAAAGTAGAACTTTACACAACTTAAATGAAATTGTCCCTGTGTTCAGAAATATGGGAGTCAAATTTAAATACCAAACCAAAAATAGCATAACAGTCTATCATTTACTTGTGTTTAGTCAAGTCAGCAGGGTTGTGTTTAGTCAATGATGTATCAGTCCCTCCAGGACTTCGCGATGTGCAATCGCAACAAGTAACGTAGATTCAGCCGCTCCCTTGGAAATTTGTCCAGTCACCACAACTTTACCGCAAATTTGACTATTTAAAATGGGTGAAATCTCATTTCAGTCGAGCTGTATGCACTGCAGTGATGCACACAGCTCCTCCTTGCCCGCTTGTCTTTCTCTCTCTATCTCTGTTTATCATGCGGCTAACACAGTGACACAAATAATGACAGGGAAAACTGTAAGCATCATATGACTAATGTTACTCCTCACCTGACGGTGAAGCTGCAGATTGCATGGTGTCTCTCTCTCTCACCTGACGCTAAAACTGTCGGGGGTTTGGATCTCGGGCTCACCCTCACCTGAAGGTGAAGCTGCGAGGCACACAGTGTCTCTCTTTCATCTGATACCAACACTATGGTGGTGTCTGCCTTAGACACCACACCTGTCAGTCACTGTCTTTACAACATAGACTGTTTGTCATTGTAGACCTCACAGTTGCCTTCTAAATCTTCCTGACTGGCTTTGACATGAATAACGAAGAAAACTTTGGACCAGCAAAGATTTTTTAATATTTGGTTTATTTTAGGCCAGTATTCACGCTGAAAATGCATGATATCATAAAGTGAATCCTATTTAATTGTATTTTTTTTTTAAATAATATTTTTTATATTATTTATTTCTTATAATGATATAAAACACATAAAAATATTGCATCATACATCACAAATTTTCAGAAAAGCCCACATGAAATCAGACATTTCAGGCTGCAGCAATTTCAAAAACATCCTGCGAAATCCTGGAGGTACTGATGTATATTCAGGTCAGCTCCTTTATACTTTAGAAAGCTTTTGTGAAATTTAGTGAAGAATTGGGAGCGTCCAAATCCCATTTGTGGTTGCAGTCTCTTAAAGTTTGACTATAAAAAAAACTAAAAACACGATCTGCATACCAAACAATTTATCTACAGTTAATGTACATTTTACTATTTGCAGATTATCATAGTGATGGACAGACTGATTCTCTCACAGTAATGGTTCCTTCAAGTTGATACATAGAAAACCTTTTGACCTTTAATACTTTTTGCAAAATATGGCGTAAATTTTATTTTTATTGATGCTCCCTTGTACGTGCATGATCAATGACTCGTGCTGCCCACCCCACAAAACTTCTCTTCAATACATTACCAGTCATCATGTATGAGTGTAAATTTAAACAAATTATTAATAATAAATTAATTTAAACGCATTCATTCAACATCCCACTTGTATGTAGGTAGGCTATGTAAGCTGAACAAGCTGTGCTATATAACTGAAAATAAGTGTAATAAAACTAAATGAAATATGACACCATTTCTATTTTCCATTTCTATGTGTTATTTTCTAAATTTGAAATCAAACTTTAATTAAAATACAATTGTTTTTTTTCTCTGTGGAAACCTACCTGTGTCCACACAGAGCTCTGCTCATTTTCTTCTCTGTTCTCTTTACTGTCATTGTATTTTTTCCTTTTCATCGTGTGACTGCAGACTTTATCTTCAGACATGTGGCTCCCTCTTGTGGACATTTAGGGGAACTGCAAAATAGTCCTACCATTTCATTTAAGGTTAGGGGTGTCCAAACGTTTTTGAACGGGGGCTAGATTAGATAATGTGAAAATAACTGTGGAACAGCTGCTGCTCATGTTATACGGACTATTAAAAAACACCCCATACAGATGAGACAAACAGAATTGGTTCATCTTTCAGTGAATAAGTATTCAACTTTTCACTACTTCTGAAAGTGGCGGCTCTCGCTGTCATCCAAATACTTCTTTGCTATGACCATGTCTACTAGCTAGCAGGAAATGTCTGCTATGAGGTAGCCATTAATTTGGTTGTTTGCTGTCTGTTTATAAAGACACAATAGTTCTGTCTGCGTTGTTTCTACTTGGTGCCTGTCTACAAACTGTGTGATAGTTGTAAACCTGATATTATATCTGCAAAAGCTACTGTAAAATCAGCCAAAAATGTCAACCCAATCCATCTCTTGAACAGGCTCTTCTGTGTAAGATTAGTGAGATATCCTGTTAGGACAATTGATCTTCATGCCAACCAAACAGTTCAGCTGTAGATTTAATAAAGAGCCTTCAGGCCTGGATTGACTCAGTCTGAAGAGGTACTGCTGTGTTCAGCTGAACCTTCTAACCATACATCCACATCCCTCCACCAGGTGACTTTGACCAGAAGCCCTACGTGTCTGGAGATGCCGACTGCTCAACAACCCAGCTGTCCGGGGACGAGGACTACGTGCTGCTAGCATGTGACGGCTTCTTTGATGCCGTAAAACCTTCAGAGGTCCCACACATGGTCCTGGATGCACTCCAGCGGTCTGGTGACCCTGAGGGTGGGGAAGATGCTCCGCTGGAACAGTCTGAGGACACTGTTGGACTGAGAGTTGCTCAACAGTTGGTAGGTCAAGCTAAAGCAGCCGGTTCTACTGATAACATCACAGTGATGCTGGTGTTCCTGCGTCCACCACAGCAGCTGCTTGCTCAAAACTCTACCACAGTACCTGCAAAAGCTACTCAGGACTCTACCTCCCAAGATGCACCACAGCAGTGAAGAAGGAGGTCTGCAGCCCAGACACCCCTGTGCCAAGCTACTGCCCAACTCAGCATTTCTCAGCCTATAATTGTCTCCAGCAGCTGTCAGACAGACTGACAACACTCATTTGATGCTAACAGCAGGCTGCAGTCACATCGTGTCACTGCTTTGGAGGAAAAGTGTTAATTAAACTATTTAAACAAAAAGATTTGAAAAGGTTTGTAAGAACATGCAGGGCCAGATATCTGTGTTCCCAAAGCAACAATGAGCTGTGGGACCCAAAAATGTTTCTTGATTCCAGACACCAACCAGCATCCCTACATTGGAATACTCGCCGCCCCAGGTCTGCTGTGTGTCAATTGGCTTGTTTTTAGTTAAAAATTACTTAATTAAACATCAAAGTATTTTAAAAGGATATGCACCATTTGAGCATCAAATCAACTTTTTGTGTATGTAATTGCGTGTATATAAAAGCTATTTCTCCTAAGTCATTTCAACGGTGCCTTTACCAGTCATGATTATGAAATGCCTCGGAAACCCCTCATTCTGTTCTGTGCTGCAGATACCTTCAGGATGGACATGAGGGAAGTTAATCCTTTAATCCTTTTAGTAGCTAATGTCAACTTCAGTCTATACATTGCCTGTCAGCCTTCAGCAACTGTTATCAGTTGATCTCTAATGCCAAGCAGTATGACTGTTAAAGGTATTGTGCACTGTGCACCATGCATAGAATGACTTGGATTAATGGAATGCGTCACCCACAAAATGACCATTTGTATATCAATTACTCATTGCGTGTTCTCTAAATTCATGAAGAAAACTTTGATTTTATTGCATGTCTCCATGGTGAGCGGAGAATCCAAAAAAGATGAACATCCTTCATGAATTTAAGTGATAACTTGGTCAGTATAATCAAAATGTCCTTTATCCAGCCATATGCTCTGTACTTCCCAAACACATGCATTTCTCTTGCATGACTCCAGAGTGAACGGAGAATCCGAAACAAAAATAAACAAGCCACGTTTGAATCATGTCAGTTCACACAGTCTAGTGCATGCCTGAGTAGCTTGCCTGGCAACACGCATACATTTGAAATCTGCTCTAGCAGAGCTCATACCCATGCTTATGCTCAGGCACACTAAGGGCACACTGCTTGTAGACAAAAGTGTTATATTTTGTAACAGCTTAGTAAAAATGCATGTGTTTGGGAAGCACTGAGCTTACAGCTGGATATACAGTATGGGAGTTGGATTATATTGCACGGATGGATGTTGTGATATGGTTTTGCTGTTTTAAATGCTGCCCCCAATGACTTCAGTCCATGCGAGAAAAACAGTTTTCCATACAAATCAAGGTAACGCAGGGTAAGTAACTGACGTACAAACGGCCATTTTTCTGTTGAATTATTCCTTTGAATCAGTAAGTTTTGCTGTATTTTTGGAGGATTAGTAAACTGATGTAGTTTATTTTGAATCTCTGAAGTACAGGACCAGCTATTTCTGGGCTTCATCCTGGAAGAACAGATGGCAAAGGGATCACAGAGAGGAATAGTTAGTGCTTTTGTTTTGAAGGAGCTCTGGTGTTACAAAACTAACTGCATAAGCTTAGCATGCTGACGTAAGGGAGTATTGATGTGGAACATGTTGCTTGATTTACTGGACAACAAACCGATAGTATTTCTGACTGCTGTGTTTTGCTTTGGTTTTATGTCTTTAAAGATAAACTATGCAGGGTCTGTCTGTTACCGTTTGTAAAGACAACATTAGAGCTTGGCCCCTCCTCTGTACGCTGATACTTAAGCAAACTATGTAAGATGAGCACCAGCACCTGTTCAACAGACGACAGACAAACTCCATGCTGCTCTTCTTCCCCAGGCTCTCCGTCAGTGCTTGCCAGCGTAAGTGAATGTGAAAGCCAACCCCATATAATTCTAATGGCTGCCTTTTTAAAATAGCGTTCCCACGAATCCTTAAAAAGTCATTGAATTCAGTAATCTAAAATGAAGGCCTTGATTGGTATTAAAATGTCTTAAATCAGTCTTTCAAAAGTCTTTAAAAATGCAAAAAAAAAAACAAAATCAAACTCTGCACGATGGAAATCACTGAAGTGGAATGCCACATGTTGAGTGAGAGACATAAAAAAATGCCAAGAAAACCAGATATTTCTCAATTCTGTCCTACCTCAGTCTCCGCCATAAGACAAAAAGTCATGTTTTATGTTACGACAAAGATTCAGGCAATCCTAATTGATGTTTGTTCATGTTTTCTAATATTTCAGTCATTGTAAAATTGGTCTTAAAGTCATTTCAACTGACATTAAAAAGTTTTTGAAAGTCTTAAATCTTACTTGCCTTGAGCTGTCTGAACCCTGGATAACATCCCAACCTCACCTGTGTGCTGTTAGTGGCTGGGGGCTACACACCCAAAGCCCAAAGCTTGCAGCCCAGAATTGTGCCAACCATCACGAATGGAAGAAAATCCAGGCAGAAGGCAGTCTCTGCAGATAAATACACTTCTAGTGGGTCGAAAGTGATGATTGAGAGGGATCACTTTGGTATGACTACACATAGTTTTTTTTTTTTTTAAGAGATCCTGCATAGTATACCTTTAATTAACAGTTCTTAATAATGTCTTATTGAGAACATTAATATGGATATTTCTCTGTTAATGACTTTGAGATGTAATATTCTGTATCACTGACAAGATGTTGTGCTGTTTTCTAAAATATTTAATATCAGCAGCTGAATAAAAGCAATGAGAATTAAAAAGGAAAAGAATATGTGTGATAATATTTAAAGCCAGTGTGAATAGATGTAAAAGAAATGTGTGTTTGCATGGGTTGAGATATTAAGTACGTGCACATAACAAAAATACTATAAAATCTTACTTATGTTTGGTATGTCAGTATGTCTTTGGACTTTAAGGAGGATGTGATTATGATTAAGTGGAAAAAAAGATTTCCATCAATGTGGATTACTATATTAGATTGATAGGTGACCTCTGCTTGTGAGGTATTTGGGAAGATGAAGATTAGACGAATGTTGTCAGGTTGAGTATGATCTTATATATTTCCCTCAAAATAGCATCTTGTAATATCATAAATTGAAAGATGCAGATTTAATTAAACGTATTTGATAAATGATATATGATAAGTGAAATTATATATATATTTATTTAATTATATATGAAACAAAAATGAATTAGAAGAATGCTAATACTGTTCTGTGAATGAATGAAGTTAGTGAGTAGTTGTAGTAGTTAATGGTACAGTTGGTAAATTACATAAGAATAGCTTTTTGTCATTTTGCTTGAACTGTCTACACATCCATACAGTATACATGACACAGAAAGTCAGCTTTAATATTTCATCTTTGCACAACTAGAAGTAATCTATTCGGCAGCTCTACAATTAGTTCCAGTCAAGCCCCTAGTATGCTGGTTCCAAACCTGGGGGTCCTGACCCCCACTAGGGGTCGCCAAAGCTTCACTGGGGGGGTCACAAGGCCTTTTTGGAATTTGGGGGGAATGAGAAGACTTTTTAAAAAATCACAGTAGGCATATAACTTCGCATTTCATTCATGTGAAAAAACTCATTATAAATGTCATTTTCAAAGTCTCTATTATTATTCAGGGTAAAAAATAAAACTATTAAGAGAATACTTCATACTGCAAAATGACTGTTTATATATCAATTACTCACTGTATGTTACCTTGAATTTGTGAAGAAAACTGTTGTTCCCGCATGCCCCAACATTTTCATTATTTTTGAGAGATGAATTTTCTTGATACTTTTCAAAGCTTTCTTGATACAATTCTGTCTGTATTATGTATTTTTCAGATTTTTAACAATCATAGATACTTAAAGAAATACTTCACCCACAAAATGATTGTTTGTGTACCACTCACCGCATATTACGTTGTTTTTCTTGCATGCCTCCACGTTGAATGGAGAATCCAAAAAAGGCAAACATTCTTCATTATTTGAAGTGATTGGGGTCCATGTTTAACAACAGCAAAACTACATAAAATCTGTTTCAGAGGGCTGTTCATCTGTTTACAAACACCCACACAACTTGTGCACTATAATCGAAGTCTCATTTATCAAGCTGTACACTCAGTGCTTCCCAAACACATCAATTTTCACTAAAATGCTACACTATAAAACACTTCCGCCTATGAATAGCACACCCTGAGCGTGCCTTAGCAGCTGCGTGTGTATGAGCTCCACTTGAGTCGAGGTTGAATGCAGGTGTGTGCCCAGACATGCTACTTGTCTGTGTGTAAAGCTGTTTGAACGAATGTGTCTTTTTATTTGTAACATTTTATTGAAAATGCATGTGTTTGGGAAGTACTGATCATCCATCCATCCATTTCTGTACTTGTATCCTCTTGAGGGTCACGGGGGGGCAGGATCCTATCCCAGCTGACATTGGGCGAGAAGCAGGGTACACCCTGGACAGGTCGCCAGACTATTACAGGGCTAAAACCCATTCACACCTACGGGCAATTTAGAGTCACCAATTAACCTGCATGTCTTTGGACTGTGGGAGGAAACTGGAGTACTTGGAGAAAACCCACACTGACACGGGGAGAACATGCAAACTCCACACAGAAGGGCTCCCTCCTAGGATCGAACCAAAAACCCTTTTGCTGTGAGGAGACAGTGCTAACCACTACACCACCGTGCCACCCAGTACTGATCATACAACTGGATAAATGAAACTTCGATTACACTGCAAAAGTTGTGTGAGAGGGACAGCATTTAACAACAGCAAAACCATATCAAAACATCCATTTCAACTTGTGCAGTATAATCCAACTCCCAAATATCCAGCTGTAGCCTCAGTACTTCCTAAACACATGCATTTTCACAAAGTTGCTGTTAATATAAAGCATTTTTGCCTATAAGTGTTTCTGAGTGTGTCTGAGGATGAGTGTGGGTATGAGCTCAAACATATGCATGTAGGGGCATCGGTGGCTTAGTGGTAGAGCAGGCGCCCCATGTACAAGGCCGTTGCCACAGCGGCCCGGGTTCGAGTCCAGCCTGTGGCCCTTTGCTGCATGTTATCCCCCCCCTCTCTCTCTCTCTCTCTCTCTCTCTCTCTCTTTCACACTTAACTGTCCTGTCCATTAAAGGCAAAAAATGCCCAAAAAAATCTTAAAAAAAACATATGCATGTGGCCAGGCGCTAGACTGTCTGTACTGAAATGTTTGAAACGTGACATGTTTTTTGTGTGTGTGTGTTTGTTTTGGATTCTCCATTCACTCTGGAGACAAGCAAGAGACATGCATGCGTTTGAGAAGTACAGAGCATATGGCTGGATTAACGACACTTTGATTATACTACACAAGTTGTGTGAAAGGTTGAGAATTTACATTTTGATGTAGTTTTTCTGTTGTGAAGTGTGGTCCCCTTTTACCTAGATTCATCAAGAACATTTTTTTAATTTTTAATTCTCCGCTCATTGTGGAGGCATGCAAGAAAAACAATGTTTTCTTCATGAATTTAACATAACGATGTGTAATTGATATCCAAAAAAATCCATGATGGTTAAAAATCAGAAAATACATAATACAGACAGAGAACCATATAATAAAGTTCCTAAAATATCAGGAAATACTCAACAATAAACAATATTTATAGGAAATAATTTGCTAAAAAATCATCTAAATCACTCATTATACACAAACTTCCTGCAGTTATTGGGCTCACTATTTGGATTGATTGTACAGTTTATCAGTTGTTCTGTACTGTTACAGTTATGCATTTAATATAATTGAAAATATCCAGAAAATGTATCACTTAGACAGGATGTCAGTTTAGTCAATCATAGAAAAAGGGTTGGTCAGGAAAAAAGGTCAGGAACGACTCCCTTAGAACATAAAGACAAAACACAGAGCCCAGAGGGTCCAATCAGATGTGATTTATTTTAAATATTTAAAAAATATATACAGATTATTTACATGATATACATACGTGAAGACAATTTAAGTTAGTAGGGCAGGAACAGAAGACTGGCAACTGAGAACTTTGTGATCATTTATATACACTTATTTACATGTCAGAGGCAGTGATCATGATCAGCTCCTTCTATTATAACAGCAGTGTTTCAGCTCCAGTGTATCATCTGCAGTGCAGTGGTGGAGTCTTAAAGCTTGGATGTCTGATGGAGTCTCGTTGTATGAGTCTGACTGGAAGCCGTTGCCGTTGTCATCTTTGTCATGCTCCCAGCTCCATTCTTCTCCTGCCTGAAACAACATATGACACTGTTAGTAAAAATCAATGGAGATCTGACACATTCACAGCAGTATTTTATATTGGACACTGTGTTATGTTGTCTGAAGTTAGTGCAGTCCAGCCGTTCTTACTTTTCTTTGTTTTTCAGAATGAGCTGTCCGAGTGGTGACTTTGGATTAACACATTTTTTCATATCTGCTGTTGTTGTAATACTAGGAGAGAAGAGAGAGGCATGTTAGAGAGAAGCTGAAGAAATGCAGAAGAATGACATGTTGGTAAATGTGGCTTAATTCAGCTCATTTACTCACATAATCTCTGTATGTGGACAGAAGTTACTTGGGCTGTGTATGACTGGTTCTCCCTTGATGAGCTTCGAACTGATCCTGCCAATAAAACTGTGACACTTGCACTTACTGGAAAGGTCCTGTTGTCCTGTGGGAAGAAAAGACACAACCTTATTAGCTGCTGATCATCTCTTCAGCTGCATCCAAGATGCAGCATTACAGCCAAACACTCCATATTATCATACAGTTACAGAAAGCATGTAGAAAATAGTTCAAGTGTTGTACTAAAGTGGGATGTCAGCTCTATCACAAGTACAAAACAATCACAGAACACTGAACTGTTGACAGTACCTTGTGCACAGAGGACAAGCAGGCTGGCGAGAAAGGCGATGACAGCTGAATTCATAGTTGTTGGCTGTAGACAGGTTATGGCTCACACTGTGTCTTTCTTCAGTCTGGACTCCTGATGATGTACAACTCACAGGAGAACTGTCTTTTATACACTGGTCAACAGCCACAGAACTGCTGTGCAGTATGAGGCAATGGTTTCACATTCCAGTTTGACTTTCACTTTCTCTGTCCCTTCCTTTTTCCTCTCACATGCCTGCTTCTCAGGAATCAGAGACACTTCTCCTCCAGAGGCTTTGTTTCAGAGAAACATTAAAGGAGCAGTGTGTAAGATTTAGAAAGATTTAGTAGCATCTGGCAGTGAGGTTTGGAGATTTCAACCAGCTGAAACTTCTCCTGATAAGATTTCCTCCAGTGTTCATAGATCATAAGGTTTTTAATGGGAGCCAGATTATCCACATTGGTCTCTTCCTCTCCAAACCAAACAGATTCTGTGATTTAAACTGGTTAAAACACAGAATCAAGCACGTTCGCGTTGGAAAATCTGTGTTTTTCCAACACTGCTCGCTGTGAAGGGGCTTGTAACTAAGGTGGCCGACGCAAAAATATGCCAGTGTTTGGTTTGTCCATTCTGGGCTACTGTAAAACATGGCAATGCAACATGGCAGTCTCTGTACACAAGGACTTGTTCCCTTTGTAAATATAAACTGTCCATTCTAAGGTCATGAAAACACAACAATTCCTATTTTCAGGTGATTATACACTAAATATTATTATAACATTCCATTTCTCCTATCATATCCTCCTAAATCCTACACACTGAAACTTTAAAGTGTATATAATGGCTTTGTCTTGTAATATTGTATCCATACAATTGAGAGGTCTCTCAGGGAATCAG